TATATATATATATATATATATATATACTTTCTATTCTAATAACGAACATTTAAAATACAATTTCCATAAACAGTTATTTTTCATTCACAGTATTCAGTATTGAGAAATACTTAATAATTTACAATATCTTTAATACATACTCAAGTTTCTTCATTATCATTTTCTACAAAAATAACAGCATTTCCTAAATGAACATACTCTTTGCCCTTCCACTTCTAATCAGCTTTATTTTCAGAAAATTTTTGTGACCGCGGGCAATGCGGTCGATAGAGTCAGTGTTTGTTGCACAATGTTTCAATATTTTTCTGAGCAAAATGGCTCTCATTAAATTAGATTATTAATTTACTTAAATTATAATTCGCGAAGTTAGAGTCAGTGAGTCTGCCGATTGTTACTTAAACGCGCGCGTTGATAGTCTTTTATTTTTCTTTTTTTATATCCTTTCTTATTCAACATTCGTTTTCGGGTCATATTAGAGTCAGTGTTGAAGAAGATAAGGCCTCCCCAGGAGATACAGATCGTAAGTAGTTTTATATATTGCATATTAATTTATTTAATTTTTCAAATTTAACGACAAAGTATAATATTTTGTTACAGATGCATCAGCAACAATTTTTTTGTATTTTTTCGGGGAAATTCAACGGTGGCTCTAAAGCCAAGGATGTAAGAATCTTTCATTATTCCCAAATTAAGATTTTGCTTTGCTTTTAAACATAAATTCTAATGTTTAATGTTTTGTTATAGATATTTTACACTCTCCACTTCCCCTTATCTCTTAAGGATCTTATGATGCTTCAAAAGTTAAAAATGTAAGTACTTTGGCATGTTGTATTTGAATTCTGTTCTCTGTAGTATTCTTTCTATTGAAGTCGAATGTAAAATATTATAATTATAAATTAAAACCACTTCGAATTGTTAATTCCAATTTTTATCATTGTTAAAATTTAAATTTTCACAAATAACACTGTGTTTTTAGAAACAAAATATTTTATGCTTTCCAGGAAATTTCTCACGACATGGGATTCAATGGTATCTACTTGATGAGGGTCTTCACAACTTCCCTGCTCCAGTACAGCCTCGATGATAC